ACCACCAGCCCTGTCTAGCTGAAGTTGCACGACAAATGGGCCATTTGCTTCTGGCTGGGGCTGGAGTGGTCACCCGCAGCCTTGTGGAAAGGCTATAATTAGCCGAGAGTTCTGGATGGGATTGCATGCTCTCCCTGACAGTTAATTTTATACTCAAATGTGAACATAAACTGATTTCATCAGAGATGTAAATATCATTGGAAATCTCAACGTTCCTGGGAAGGGTACGGCTGCCTCTCCCCATGCCCACGGCCCCTTGAGCACTTGAGTGAGGAGCCCAAGCAGCCTGTGCTTTGTGGGAGCCTCCTCAGGGCTTGTCTGGCTGGACCAGGGAAGCAGGTGTGTGATGGCTCAGTTTACACAGTGCGGGAGGAGTCGGGATGCTTGGGTTTGTGTTCGCCACTGGAGCTTTTCCTATGGCTTTAGTGGTCTGGGAAGGTTGCAAGGCTGACCAGCAAGGAGAAGGCGATGCTTTGCACCAGGAGGGAGAGCACATCAAAGGAAGTGTTGTTTCCTGAGGGCAAGGCCATCCTGGAGTGGGTCCGAGGCTCTAGGGAGCTTGTAAAAATAGAAGAAGCCACTTTATGCCTTTATGGAGAGGGCTGGGGTCAGTTCTACTCTGGTGTTTTGGAGATGGTTTCCAAAGCAGGCTACCTTAGCCCAGAAGCATGGCCTCAGGCAGGGGCACAGGCTGGGAGCCCAGAGATGTCAGGGCCCCAGGCCCTCCTGTCCGGAAGACTTTTTTTTTCTTTAAAACAGGAAACACAAAATTCTCAGAAGTATAAGGAATCAATTCTGAAAATATTAAGTCTTGTTGGGTCAGTGACAGCATAAGAATGACATTTTTCATCCAGACAGAGGATAAAACCCCACCTCTGTCACCTGCACCTACGCTGTGTCCTTGCATATTTAATTCAGTCCCTGCCTGGGCTCTCAAGGCTTACGTCTGTCTGTCTGTCTGTCCATATGGGGTCTTTTTTAACCATGATCTTCAGCTCTGGGGTGGAGGGATCTCTGGGCTCAGCGTCCGGTTCAGGGTTAGGGTTGAGCGAGTGATTCCTTAGAAGTCCGGTAATTCAGAAGGGGGAGATGGGGCTTTTTTTTACAGCTGCTTGCTCTTGTTCTAGAGGACCCACAGGGCTTAGGCCGGCCTTGAACAATGATCTCACCTTGTTCTGGGTTTTGGAGCATGAACTGACCAGATAGCCTCTGGCTGATCTTGCTCTGTCAAAGGTAGATTTTACTTCCTGGGATCATCATTGTCTTGTAGAAAGTTTCGTGTGTGTGTGTGTGTGTGTGTGTGTGTGTGTGTGTGTGTGTTCTGCCTTATAAATTTAAACATTCACCCAAGTGGGTACTTTTGATGACATCATTTCATGCACGGTTTTCCTGATATGGTCAACTTGTCCTGGGGCGACAGCTTCCTGGCCATCCTCTGTTATCCCATGTTTCTAAGTAAGCTCATTCTGTTTGACTTTTGGCATCCTGGCCACTTGTCAAAGCTTTGGAGAAAGCAGGCACTTCCCTTTACCCAGGGCAGTCTTAGTACTCTTCAGAAGGAAGTCAAGGGGATCTATTTTGAGGGCACATTAGAGCCAATTTAAGGCCAGTGAGGAACTGGAGAGGTGGACTCCTTAGTTTTCTGGCTGTTGACTCTAGGGTATCTCACCAACATCCTGTTGGTATTACTCCTCACTTCCTTTCCTCGGATCTTAGCTGGCTGTGCCGCGGCTCTCGTTACTGTCCCACGCCACCTTCTCCACCATATCTGGCAATGTGTCCTTGCCCTCAGGAAGGTGTGGCCCGGAAACTCAGAATCCTTGGACAAGCAGGAGACGGGGTACACAGCGTCAGACTCAAGCCCAAGGGAAGTCCGGCACGCATCCATTCAGTACACATTGATTGTAAGCACCGACTGTACTTCCTAAATGTCAGGAACTGTCATGGTGCTGGGGATGCCCCAAACAGTTGGAAAATCCCTCCTGACATGGAGCTTAGAGTCTCTTGGGGAAGACAAACAATTACAAAGTAAAAGAAGAAAGCTGCTTGTTAAATACTGGTCAGGGCAGAGGAGAAAAATGAAATGGGAAATGTGATCGGGAGTTTCAGGGGGAAGGATTTTCTACTTTTAAATAAGATGGTCCCGGCAAGGCCTCATAAGGCAGCTGACAACTGAGCAAAAGACAAAAGGGAGATGAAGGGGTGAGCCATGCGGATGTCAGGAAGAAGAGCATTCTAGGCAGTGGGAACAGCCTGTGCAAAGGCCCTGGGGTGGCGCCCTGAGTGTGTTCCGCCAGCAGTAAGAGCCCAGTGCTGCAAAAGTCGAGTGAGGGAGGGAAGGAAGTGAGAGGTGAGCTCAGACAGGTTGTGTGGGCCTGTCATCTGTGGTTAGGGTTGTGGCTTTCATTCTTGGCGCACAGAGAACCAGCCTGCTCTGATTTGGGTTTGCCTGGTCACTCTGATGTGGAGAATGGGCCGAAGGGGGCCAGTCAGGACACTGCAGTGGGATCCCAGGGCGGCAGTGTAGCCCCAGACTCGTCTGAGGCTTGGTAGTGGTGTCAGCTGATAAAACTCCCTGAAAATTTAGTACGAGACTTTGAGGCTGAGAGACAAGAGGGGCCCTCCAAGGGCTTTGTGACCTGGTTTTTCCTGACAAAGTGGGACTCAGTCATCTTTCCACTGCTGGGAAAGTTGATTAACAAGGGATTTGACTTAAAAATCCCCTCAAAATTCCTCCTACGCTAACCTTCCACCTTCCCGATGGTCCTCCTGCCTATATATTCCACATTCAGGGTGCTGCGTTTAGCAGCTCGGAAATGTCCCCGGGGTGACCAGCCTGTGTATGAGGCATCACAGGGCCCCAGGCTCGCCGGTACTTTCCTCTAAAGGGGTTCTGTGCCAGTTTGCTCGGGCTGCCCTAACAAAGTGCCACAGCCCGTGTAGCTTCAGCCACAGAAATTTATTTCCTCACAGCTCCGGAGGCTAGGAGGCCAAGATCAAGGTCTGGCAGCGTTGGTTTCTCCTGAGGCCTCTCTCCTTGGTGTGCAGATGGCCTCCTTCTCCCTGTGTCCTCACATGCTCTCCCCTCTGTGTGTGTCTGTGGCCTAATCTCTTCTTCTTATAAGGACACCAGTCCTATTGGATTAAGGCCCACCCATATGACCTCATTTTTAACTTCATTACTGCTTTGAAGGCTCTATCTCCAAATATAGTCACATTCTGAGGTACTAAGCGGGGGGGTTAGGAGTGCAGCGTCTGAACTTTGGGGGAGCACAATTCAGCCCCATAGCAGGTTCCCTCATGTACGGTCATCTGGGGTGAGCCCCCCAGTGACAGGCACCGTAGCCCGCAGATGAACTCTTTGTAGGATAATCAAGTGACTGCCAGTCTTTCTTCTCTCTCACTCCCTGCTTTCTTGCTGCAGCTGATCGGAGCCTTGGTCCTGTCGGTGGGAATCTATGCAGAGGTGGAACGACAGAAATATAAGACCCTTGAAAGTGCCTTTCTGGCCCCGGCCATCATCCTCATCCTCCTGGGGGTCATCATGTTCATCGTCTCCTTCATTGGCGTGCTGGCTTCCCTCCGTGACAACCTGTGCCTTCTCCAAGCGGTGAGTGGGCCCCATGTACCCCTGAGCTGGTGGTCGGGGGGGCGGTCCTTGGAGCCCCCCGGGGAGCTGAGGAGATTGCCCCGGGGCCCTTGGGCAGCCCATTTTTTTTTCAGTCCTTGCCTCGAACCAGACTTTCTAGAGGGTTTCATGGATCAGCCAACCTGTTTACCTCGGCCCAAGAGAGACCAATCCACTTCCACTTTTGCATGTCAAGACTGATTTGAATCCCATTCTTCTTATTTAAACCTTGCATTGGTCTGGCCTCTCAATTGCAAGTGGGAGAAACCACACTGGAATGAGAGCAAGTAAACCCCAAAAACGTTGGTGGTGAGTCATTGGCTCACATCGTCAGCAAACCCACACTGGGACCAGGGGTGTAGATGATGGTGCCCTTGGGCGCTCTCTCTTTTGCCGCCTCCCAGGCCTCATGCTCTCTTTGCAATAGTCACCAGCAGCCTCAGGCTAATGGTCTTTATAGCTCTGGATTCGGGGAATCTCTCCTGGTAACCTCTGGCCCAAGTCCCAGGACTCCAATGGGCCTGCTTGGGCCAAGTGCCTGCCCTGGGGTCAATCCCACCCTTCCTTTCTGTGAAGTAAGGAATGGCTCCCCCAAGCTGGGGGGGGCTGTGTTGGCAGATACACCCTGCACCCACATGTGTGTTTGACCTCACGTCACCCCTCACGTGGGAAGCTCCTAAAAGCCCTTACAAGCAGGGTATTGGTGCTGGCTGAGGCTGGAAGTTGCTGGCATCAGTTTGGACAATGGCGGCCCTGTGATAAGGGACGGGGGCAGGGGTATATATCCTTCAAGCCTCGACATCACATCATCCACTCTGGGGGGTCTGGGAAGTGCTTCGGAGGGGCTCTGCGGGCAGAGCTGGAGGTGCTGCCCTAGCCTACCCATCAGGCCAGGCCTGCCTCTGGGTCGGCTGCAGTGGGGACCAGCTGTCCTCGTGGCGGGGCTGTGATGGGAGGGGGTGTTTTTCCACCCAGACTCTGCTGAGTTCCCCTGAGACGAACCTCAATAGCGATCTGGCCTGGACAGCTGAGTCACCCCTCCTGACCACTGATTGGCTCCAGAGATGGGTTTTCCCGGGGAATATCGGTTCACATCCTGTGTCCTCAAGGGAAGAAGGAGCAAAAGGCCCAGGAGCCAATAAGAGCTCCAGCAGACTTGACCTCAGAGCAAGTGGTGCTTCGCTTGCCCCTCTAGGTGAATCTCTGAATTTTGTTTTTCAGTTTATGTACATCCTTGGGATTTGCCTTATAATTGAGCTCATCGGTGGCGTGGTGGCCTTGATCTTCCGGAACCAGGTGGGCCTCTGACGCAGGTGTCAGCCACATGTGTATGCTGAGCACCCACTGTGTGTGCCTTGGGCTATAAACTAGGGGTGTGCGGAGAGCAGGGTAGATAATTCCTGCGGAACGTCCATTCTGCTGGGGAGATGGGCACTGAACAAGTAGACCAGAGAACAAGAACACAGAACAGGTGACAGGTGAGTGCCTGGGGTGGATGAGGGAATGATGAAAGACTGAAAAGGAACCTACCAGGTGAGGGGCAGGGGAAACGGAGGTCCAGGCAGAGGGAACCACTGAGGCAGAAAGGAGCTTGGCAGGTCTGTGGGCCAGCATGCAGGCCACTGAGCTGAAGTGGGTGAGTGATGGGGAGGGACAGAAGGCAAAGTTGGACGGGCCACCAGGGCAGATCTCGTAGGTTTTCATAGGCCATGGTTTGGGGGCTCGGAATTTTTTCTAAAGGTAGTAGGAAGCCTTTGGAGAGTTTTGCAGGGAAGTGATGTGATCCGATTTACAGTTTACTCGCTGTTGAGTGGAGAATGGACAGTAGGGAGTCAGGGGGGCTGTGGATGGGCCAGTTGGAGGCTGTTGTCTAGGAAGGAGGGGATGACATCTTGGCCCTGGAAGAGTTGGCAGAATCAGGGCCCCTTTGAGCTGGCGAGGTTCTCAGGGCTTCTAGTCTCCAATCCTTCTATTGCAGGCTGTGTGCGCCTCATACTGGCTGTGTGACCTTGGGCAAGTCATTTAGCCTCTCAGATCCTCAGGCTCCCAGGGGATTATGAATCCTAGCTCACTGGGTTTTGGGTGAGGATTTGATGACAGAATGCACGTGAGGGACCCGGTGTGGTTATGACCCCCAGTGGACCTTTGTTACCTATCAGCTCCTCTGTCCCAAAACCCGGAGAAGAGAAATGACTTGTCCAAGGTCCCACAAAGAACCTAGTGGCTGTGTGGGGTTGACTTCCAACCCAAGGCTCTGTCATTTCTCCCATAATGTCATTCCTTTGCCTTCATCCCAGCTTTGGTGTTGGAGGTGGGACTTGGGGAGCAGAGTGAGTTTGAGTAAGTTCTCTCTGGTCTGCCGCCACCCCACCCCACCCAGACAGCTCGGTTCCTGGTGCTCTCGGACACTGCTGCTGAGCAGGTGCTTGAGGGCTGTGGCCCCATTTTCTCTCTTGTCAGAGGTTGCGCCCAGGGCAGCCGTCGCTATCCCAGACACAGGGGTGTACAGAGCCCTCCAATGACCTGGTGTTTGACCCCTGCCAAACTCCTCATGGGTGCAGCTGGATCCCGGCCCGGCGGGGGGAGCAGAGGAGCCCCTTAAACTTAGGCTTGTCTACACCCCTGGAATCCAGGGGTCTTCTTCCCATTTTAGGAACTGCAGGAGAGGGGTAGAGAGATTCCCATCAAATCAATGGAGCCAGTGAGGCACAGAGAGGTTAGGAAGCCCTCCCCACAGCACACAGCAAGACAGAGTCAGCTCTTCGGTTTCAGTTCTTTTTCCTTCCCCCCAGCTTTATAGACAAGTAAAATGGCAACATATTTACATGCACATGTACAATATGATGATTCGATTTACATATACATTGTGAAATGATTACCACAATCAAGTTAAATAACACATCCATCACCTCACACAGGAACTTTTCTTTTAGTGAGAATGCTCCAGATCTATTCTCAGCAAATTTCAAGTACACAATACAGTGTTATTAGCTAGAGTCACAATGCCATACAGTAGATCCTCAGAACTTATTCACCGTATAACTGTGAGTTTGTACCCTTGGCCAGCATCTCCTTATTTCCTATCCCTAGCCCCTGGTAGCCACCACTCTACTCTCTGATTGTACGGGTTTGACTTCCTTTTTCTTTTTTAGGTTCCACATACAAGTGATACCCTGCAGTATTTGTCTTTCTCTGTCTGGCTTATTTCCCTCAGCATAATGCCCTCAAGGTCCATCCTTGTTGTCACAAATGGCAGGATTTCCTTCTTTGTTTATGGCTAAATAATATTCCATTGTGTGTGTATGCAATGGATATATATACAATATAAAAATAAAAATATATAAATATGTTAAATAAATAAGTATATTTCCTTATCCATTCATCTATCAATAGACACTTAGGTTGTTCCCATATCTTGGCTATGGTGAATAATGCTACAGCATATCCTTTGGATATATTCCCACAAGCGGGATTACTGGTTCATATGGTATAGTTCTATTTTGAAATTTTGGAGGAACTTTCATAGTGTTTTCCATACTGGTTGTACTAATTTATATCCCCACCAACCGCGTACAAAGGTTTCCTTTTCTCCCCACTAGTATTTGTTATCTCTTGTCTTTTTGGTAATAGCCATTCAAATAGGCATTAGGTGATATCTCATTGTGGTTTTGATTTGCATCTCCCTGATGATGAGTGATGGTGAGCATCTTTTCATGTAACTGTTGGCCATCTGGATGTCTCCTTTGGAAAAATATCTATTTAGTTCCTCTGCCCATTTTTAATCAGATCATTTGTTGTTGTCATTCAGTTATAAGGTTAACTTCTTAAAAGATATATGGCTTACAAATATTTTCTCATTCTGTAGGTTGCCTTTTCATTTTTTTTGTTTCTTTCCTTTGCTGTGAAGAAATTTTTCAGTGTGATGTGGTCCCACTTGTTGATTTTTGCCTTTGTTAACTGTGCTTTTGGTGTCAGATCAAAAAATCATTGCCATGACCAATGTCTGGGATTTCTCCCCCTATGCTTTAAGAGTTTTATAATTTCAGGTCTTATCTTTAAGTCTTTTATCCATTTTGAGTTGATTTTTGTGCATGATGTAAGATAATGGTCCAATTTTTTCTTTGGGCATGTGGATATCCAGTTTTCCTAGCACCATTTAAGAGATTATCCTTTTCCCATTGTGTATTTTTGGCATTTTTATAGAAAATTAGTGGGTATGACTGGGTTTATTTCTAGGCTCTCTATCCTATTCTACTGATCTATATGTGTGGGTTTTTTGGGTCAGTACCATACTATTTTGATAACTGTAGCTTTATAATATAGTTTGAAATCAGAAAGTATGATTCCTCCAGCTTTGCTTTTTGTGCACAAGATTGCTTTAGCTTTTTGGGGTCATTTTGTGTTTCTACACAAATTTTAAGACTTTTTTTTCTATTTCAGTGAAAAAAATGCTTTTGGAATTTTGATAGGTATTGCATTAAGTCTGTAGATCACTTTGGGTAGTATGAATAGTTCAGTAATAAGTCTTCCAGTCCGTGAACAAGGGATATCTTTCCCTTTATTTGTGTTGTCTTCAATTTCTTTCATCAGTGTTTTGTGGTTTTCAGTATATAGCTCTTTCACTTCTTTGGTTAAACTTATCCCTAAATAATTTATTCTATCTGATGCTATTGTAAATGGGTTTGTTAATTTATTTTTTGAATAGTTCATTGTTAGTGTATAGAAATGCAACTGATTTTTGTAGGATGATTCTTGTATTCTACAACTTTACTGAATTTGTTTATTGGTTTTAACAGATTTTTGCTGGAATCTTTAAGATTTCTTTTCTTTTTTTTTTTTTTTAAAGTAGGGTCCATGCCTAGCATGGAGCCTGACGTGGGGCTTGAATTCACGACCCTGAGATCAAGACCTGAGCTGAGATCAAGAGTCTGATGCTCAACCGACTGAACCACCCAGGCACCCCTGGGGTCTTTAAGATTTCTATATATAAGATCATGTGTACAAACAGAAAATTTTACTTCCTTTCTGATTTGGATGACTTTTATTTCTTTTTCTTGCCTAAGTTCCTTGCTCTGGCTGAGGACTTCCAGGACCAGCTGAATAGAAGTAATGAGAGTGGACACTTTTCTCTTCCTGCTCTTAAAGGAAAGGTTTCACTTTTTCACCATTGAGTATGATGTCACCTGCAGGTTTATTATGTATGGCCTTTGTTATGTTGAGGTGCATTCTTTCTATACCTGATTTGTTGAGCATTTTTGTCAGAAAAGGGTATCACATTTTGTCAAATGCTTTTTCTGCATCTATGGAAATGACCATATGATTTTTATCCTTCATTGTTATTGTGGTGTATCACACTGATTGATTTGCAGCTGTTGAACCATCCTTACATCCCAGGGGTAAATCCCACTCAATCATGGCTATGATCCTTTTAATGTGCTGTTGAATTTGGTTTGCTGATCTTTTGTTGAGGATTTTTACAGCTATGTTCATCAGAGATACTGGCCTATAATTTTCTTTTCCTGTAGTGTCTTCATCTGGCTTTGGTGTCAGAGGAGTGCTGGCCTCATAATGATTTTGGAAGCGTTTCCTCCTCTTCAATATCTTGGAAGAATTTGAAAAAGATTAGTATTAATTGCTCCTTAAGTATTTGGTAGAATTCATCAGTGAAGCCATCTGGTCCTAGAGTTTTACTAGTTTATTAGTTCCTGACCTGTTATTGGTCTGTTCAGATTTTCTATTTCGTCATGACTCAGCTTTGGTAGGTTGTATGTTTCTAGGAATTTATCCATTTCTTTCCGGTTACCCAGTTTGGTGGTGGATAATTGTTCATCGTAGTCTTTTATGATCCTTTGTATTTCTGTGTTATCAGTTGTGATGTCTCCTCTTTCATATCTGCTTTTATTTATTGGAATTGTCTCTTTCTTTCCTAGTCTAGCTAGAGGTTGTTAGTTTTATTTATCTTTTAAAAAAATCTACTCTTAATTTTGTAGATATTTTCTATTGTCTTTCTAGTCTCTACTTCATTTATTTCTTCTCAGATTTTTGTTATTCCCTTCCTTCTACTAACTTTGGACTTAGTTCGCTCTTCTCTGTCTGCTTTCTTGAGGTGTAAAGTGAGATTTTTCATTCGAGGTCTTTCTCTTTTTTTTTATTAAGGTAGATGTTTACTGCTATAAACTTCCTTCTGAGAACTAAGCTTTTTGCTTTTGCTTTTGCTGCATCCCCGAAGTTTGGTATGTTGTGTTTCCATTTTCGTTGGTCTCAAAATATTCTTTTATTTCCCTTTTTCTTTGCCCCATAGTTGTCTTTTCAATCTAGTGTCACTATTTGCTCCTCCCTTTTCCCCTTTTCTGTCTTTCAGGCCATCCTCTCTGAGCTGGAAGATCAGGGTATTGGTTCATGTCTCCGCAGCCTGAGGGGGGAGAGGTGTTTGTTCCATTTGTCCATGGGGATGCGTTTCTGTGCAGTCATTGGGCTCCCAGCCAGCCTGTGGCTTTCCAGAGGTTTTGGATTAGTGCTTTCCTAGCTAGAGCTCAGGTCCAGGTTGTGGTCAGCAGCATCGATTGTTTTAGTAAACAATCCCCTAAATGAGCAGCAGTTCTGGTTTCCAGCATGCTCTCACAAAGGCGGGCTGATTTGTCATTTTCCAGTCCCCCGTAGGTCAGTAGCGGCCATGACACCAACCGCTCCTTCGTCCAGCCGGGGGTCTGAGCTCTCTTGTCCTCACAGCTGAGGATGCCGTGGGCTGAGATCAGGGCTGAGAGCTTCTCATTATCTCATTATCCCCAAAGCCTGAGGATTGGATGGGGAGTCCCCTTACAGGGTCCTGTCAGGGGAGGATCTCTGTGTGCAGCCCAGGAAGGACCCTCACCATCAGGGCTCTCGGCTCTTCGGAGGCTCATCATGAGCCATGTTCTCATATGCCTGTGATACATAATTCAAAATAAATGAAAAATGAGATATAAAACTATAAATGCAGTAAGATCTCTACCATGAAAAAAAAATAGGCCTGAAAAACCTGGAAAAAAATAGAAATATTCTCATATTAACTCTTAATTCCTCTGAGAGGTGGGGCTAGGGTGATTCTTATTTTCTCCTTGATATTTTTTCCCTGGCTCCCAAATTTTCTCTTTCTTATAATCATGGGGGAAAATACCATATACAGAAAAATAATGTCCCTTCTAACTCTAATGTAAAATACGAGACTGGCCAGTGCTGAGGATGGCTGTTGACGGCAGCAGGAAGGGGCAGCGTAAGGTGGAGAGAAAGGGTGGGGAGCAATGAAGGTCAGCTGCAGGAGGAGGTGAGTCCCCAGTTCTACTTTCTCCTCACCAAGAGGAGAAGAAACATTTCTCTGAGCCCTACTATAACAGTCTGGCTCCACAGGCTACCTGTAAATCTAAGAATCCACTCGTGGTGCCAGATGAGAACAAATTAGGCTAATGACCTCACGCCTGGTTCTCGGGAAGGGGCACAGGCCATGGCCACCGCTGGCAGCAAGACATCAACAGAACACCTGGGTATAAAGACAAGACTCTCCATCCCTGACTCTGGGCGGGGTTTCCACTATCGGGCACGACCTGACGGTCAGACTCAAGTGGCTTCTCTGTTGTACAGAGTCTAGCAGCTGTGCACTGGGAAGCTGGGCACAGAGCTCCAAGGGCCCGGGCATCAGAAATGCAGTGTCCTGACCCCAGCCTGTGCAAGAAGAACCTAGTGACCGCCACAACTGTCTGGGTCTCACCTTGAGCTACCAGTACTCCAGCTTGTTCTGGGGCCTCTCTTGAGGGTGCAGGGGTGTTGGAAGAGGGCAGCACCTGCCCATGTATCCCCAGTCAGGCAGAGCCAAGCGGGAGACCCAGAGGCTGCCAGGAGGTAGCTGTATGTCTGTACCCCCAGCCCAGGCCTCTTGGCCTCTACCTTCCCTCCACTGCCAAGGCAGGTGAAGAGTGGCCTCTTTCCTGGCCTTAATCAGAGGATGCTGGTCATACCCAACACCAGGCCACAGAACAGCATCCGGCCTGTTTGTTTTTTCATGACTCCAGCACTAGCCGGTTCTGGACATGCCCTTGAAGCCAAGGGTAGGGAGAAAGGAGATGACACCGTGGCCTGCTTGACGGAGCACGTGGACACACATATATCCTGCCCACCCGGAGCAAAGTAGAGGAGATTCTGCACTGAGACCTGGCCAGACTCTCCCAGCTGCTGTGCCGCACTGTGGACAATGTGTGCGACTGACAACTGGAGCCCCAAGTTCCTGCGAAGCTGAAGCAGGACCTCCTCTCCCTCTCCCCCGCCCCCACCCTGGATCAAACCTGTGACTTCCGGCCTGGTTGGTGGAAGCATCTGGCAAATGTTCCAAAGAACCTTGTAGCCCTCTCTCCTCCTTTCTTCTTGCTCCCTGGGTTCTCTTCAGGCTTTGGTTGTTGGACTGAGCCTATCTCAGTACTGGAGGCGAGAGGACGCGTCCCCACAGTCTGAGGCACTGAGGGAAGCCCAGAGATGCGGGCTCGGCCCACGTGCAAGGGAAGGAAGGACGTTCTAGGCTGAGCACCCCCTCCACATTGTGAGAACCGGGCTGGTATTGGTGTCAGCGGGGCCTCTGCAGCCTTGGGTCTCAGGGAGAGAGCCACGGAAGCGCCATCCCTGGAGGCCAGGAGGAAGGCTCCCCGGCCGCCCTTCCACTCCTCCCTCCTCCCCCTGCTCCTCAGCCTCCAGGCCTGGGGGAGGGGCTGCCATATGCCCCAACCCCTTGATGCCTCATTCACTTAAAAACACCAAGTCCCTCTGCTGGAAGCTGTGCGGCAGAGGCTTTGGAGAGCTTTAAAATTAGATTTAAAAGAAAGAACTAGAAAGGACGGTTCTTTGCAGCTTGCCTCTGGTGGTTTAAACAATGGGCTCTGAAAATCCTGTGGCCTTTGATGGTGGCTTATGCTTTGCTTAGTTTAGCCAGGCCATGTGGTCCCTGTGAGGCCATGCCAGCCTGGCGAGGAAAGGTGGTTTTCTCACCCTAGTTGGAGCTGGCCCTGCTGGTGTGAGCTGGTTTCGAGCAGGGCGGGGATGGCACTGGGGGTTTGGTCTCCGAGGGGCAGAGGATCCCTGCTGTGCCCCACAAGGCACATCCTCTGAGTGGCTCCCCCAGTCGTAGAACGTAGCTGAACATAGCTGAGCACTTCGCAGTTAAATTCATGAGCTGGGCAGCCTGCTTGTCTCACTGGAGTTTCTCATCCATCCCCAGCCCCATCACGGCACCAGGACCACCTAAGTATCCTCATATCTCTGGTATATACACGCGCGCGCACATACACACACACACACACACACACACGCAGGAGAGCACAAGAGCAAGCCTGATCCAAAGAGGTCCCTGAGGGAGCTGGGGCAGCTGCTGTCCATGGAGCCTGGGGCCATCTGTTCCTCCTGCCCATTCAGAGGGGCCTCCAGCGGGGCCCCCCTTCCCTGTAGGGACCCAGCTCAGCTTACCAGATGGGAGGCCTGATTTTCGCAGAGGCCTTTTTGGAATCAGCATGTTTGGAAAGTACCCAGAGACTGAGTTGGTTTGGGGAGAAAGGTCAGAGCCGCTTACTGAAGAGGGAGGGAGAGCCTTTCCCCACCGGGCCACTGGGCATCCCCTCTGCTGACCTTTCCCGGGACCTCTTGCTCTCATCCCCTGGCCCCCCATCTCCAACCCTGGGGGAGTCCTGGAATCTCTCTGCCAGCAATCAGTGGTCAGATCGCCTCTCCGGGCTGCAGGGTGTTTGTGAGGGGTCCGAGGCTAGGGGCTGGCTCTTGCTTGGGAGGCTGCTTCCACCTCAGGAGGCCTTTTGGACAAGACTTGAGGCCTCGGTTTCCCTTGGGATTAGCCATTTTCCACCGATGATGTGATGGGTATGAAGCAGTCCTGTAGGGTATATGTCTCCAGGAAAAGGAGAGAAAGATCTATAATAATACCATGGCCTACCATGTGCCTGGCCCCTTGCTAAGCACATTTGTAGCTTTAGTTTATCTAAACTCAAATCTCTCCAAGGCAGAGGTTATGTTCCCATTTGGCAGGTAAGGAAGTGGAGGCTTGGCAGCTAAATGAGGTGTCTAGGCCCGGGTGGCTGCTGGAACTGTTCTTGACCACGAGGCTTGGTGGCCCCTCTCAGCCCTGTCTCTGACCCTCAGCGCTGGTAGTTATCTCAAAGATAGGCCTGCAGGTTTGGTTCACAAGTGGGAAACCGAGGCTCAGAGAGGGGAGGTAGCTATGATGGGGCCTGCAGTGGCAGGACCAGGCCTGGAACCCAGGTCCCTGTTTTCCCAGTGGCGCCCGCAGGCGCCTCCTCCGGGGATCGTCTGGTTCCAGAGCCAAGAATGCCCCCTTTGTGCCAGCTCAATCTCTGGTGATCTGCGGGCCTCCCTGCGCTGAAAGCCCTGATTGTCGCTAGGAGCGTGGGGTTGGACAGCCCACACTCCCGCCCCCACCCCTTCCCGCTGTGGGGCCTTTTGTGCTCCTGGATTTCAGCACAACAGCCGGGCTGTTGATCCAGAAGGCCCAGCGTGACCGGGAGAGGGCGATGTGCCAGCGTTACTCCCCGTGGGGATCGTCCCCGCCCGAGCCAGGAGGTGGGCCCTGTCGTTCAGCCCAGAGCCCTGCAGCGATGAAGAGTGGCCCACTGGGGAAGTCAGGAGAGCTGATTTCCAGTCCTGGCCAGACCCCTAACCAGCCTGCTCTGTGCCCCAGGAGAGCCAGGCCCCCTCTCTGGGCCTCAGTTTCCTTACCCATAACACGAGAGCTTGGATAGCAGAGAAGAGTGGAGAGGAGGCCTGGAGGACAAAGACTCAGCTCAGGCCTGTCTTTGGGCAGTGGAAAGGGCACCAGGCCGGGACCTGGGCCAGCCAAGTCCCAGCCCGGCGTGGCTGCTTCCCCAGACAGGGTCCCATCTCCTGGGGCCTGGGCTCTCTGATCTGTATAGGAAAGGGGGTGAATCACTCCTGCTCAGACATGGCAAAGGGACACAGGCATCAGATGGGCACCGGGATGCAAAGAGGTGTGGGCAGGGAGGTGGTGCAGGCGGGGTGGGGGCTACTTGGGCTTGTGGGCTTTCTGTTCCAGTCCCGAGTTCTGGGAGCTCTTGGACTGGACTTTGAGGGGGTGGGGGGTTATCTGTTTCTTTTGTAATGTCTCCATCTAAATAGACCATCGACTTTCTGAATGACAACATTCGAAGAGGAATCAAGAACTACTATGATGATCTGGACTTCAAAAACATCATGGACTTTGTTCAGAAGGAGGTGAGCCAGGCGCTCTGGGTCAGAGATGCGCCTGCCATGCCCTTTGCCTCTGGCTCAGGACCTTGCTCAAGAGGGCAAGGGTGGGGGCGAGAGAGCAGTGGCTTATCCATTCCCAAAGCTGGTGCTGGCCGAGCTGCGAGACAGTGACCGGGCCGTGGATGGGCACCGAGGGTGGGGGCCTGACCTTCTCAACCAGTCCTCTGCCCACATGCCTGGCCCAGAATGTCCTTACTCTCCCTCTCTTGAGTTACATAGATATCCCCCCATCAAAAAAAAAAAAAAAAGAATCAGGTCAGCTATAGCTGCGAGCCTCCTTGCAGGGTCCCAGGGTACCCTTCTCCAATGGGCAAAGGTCCTCCTTCCTTGAGGTGGGAGACAGACCTCCTAGCTGCCCAGTTCAGAGACCTTTCTGCCGAGTCCCTTCAGGGGCAGGGAGCTCACTCCTGGCAAATCAGGGACAGCCCTGAGGTAGAGAGCACTCTTCCCTGATTCCACTTCCCCCTGCACTGGGGAACAGAACACGACTTCTCCTTTTCCTCTGTAACTTCTTTGTTGTTGTTGTTTTTTAAGATTTTATTTATTTATTTGACAGAGAGAGAGACACAGCGAGAGAGGGAGCACAAGCAGGGGGAGTGGGAGAGGGAGAAGCAGGCTTCCCGCTGAGCAGGGAGCCCGATGCGGGACTCAATCCCAGGATCCTGGGATCATGACCTGAGCTGAAGGCAGACGCTTAACGACTGAGCCACCCAGGCGCCCCTGTAACCCTTCTTTGAATGCAATGATAATCTTTTGGGGATACTGCCCCTTCCCCCCAAGGTCCACCCACGTCTGCTGGTGTTATAATAACAGCAGTGGCAGCCAGCACTGCCCTTGGTGGCTTCTGCACATCAGTCTCACTTAGTTCTGAGCCTCAGGTTCTCATCGGCAGCAGGGGAGTGTGGGTGGCCCCTTCCTCTTGCCTGTGGCGAGTACTGCCGCCATGTTCTCCTCGGTGAGACTCAGCCCTGGCAGCTTCCTGGGACACGGTCTAGGGGGCTTCAGCGGGCCTGGATCCCGGGCCTGGCCCTCAGCGAGAACCAGATCTCCCCGCGCCCACGGCCACCCGCGGTGGCCACTCCCTTGGCTCAGGCCTTCGCTGTAGTCACAACAGGTGCAGCCTCCGGGAGGCCCCTCTGCCAGGGGCGTGTCGGCCAGCTCCGGCCGTCGGGTGAAGTGTGATGTTTTTATTGGAACCAGCGTTCCCCTGGCTTGGGGGTTTCATTTCTCCCAGGCTGGGTGCTTCATGCACGGCCTGACTTTGTAATCCTCAGCTCAGCTGTGCAAAGCCAGCATGGCTCTTCCTGCTTGGCACATGAGGATCTGAGGCCCAGAGAGGCTGGTCAACTTGCCCAAAGTCACACAGCTAGGAATGGTAGTATGAGGATTTGAACTCTAGTCTCTTGGACTCTTGAACTCAAAGCAAATGCCCTTTGAGCGGCACCCTGGGGAGGCACTGCCGGGTCCTGAGAGCTGACAGCCGGAAGGCCTCTGTGGGGACTCTGGAAGGGTGTCTGCTTTGTGTTTTCGCAGGGACCTCTGACCCTGTCAGTCCCCTAGTTAACCTTCCGGGCACTCGCCATCACTCCGAGTATGATCCCAGCCCCCTACTTACTCTGGCTAACCAGGCTTTGCGTGGTGTGGCCTAGGCCGGCCTCTGCACCTCGTCCCTCCCCTCTTGCTCGCCCTGCTCCGGACACACGGGCCTCCGTACCTGCGACCCACCTACACCTCACTCATCCTGCACGGGGCCTACGCACTGTTGACTGGCTTTTTCCTGCTGTTCATGTTTCAGATTAAATGTCATCTCTTCAGAGGGGCCTCTCCTGACCTCCCAACGTACAGCTGCCCCCTCCAACCCCCTTCTCCTCTTTTCCCACGCCCCTGGCACACAACGCCACCCTACTGACCTTCCCACGTAGTGGTGACTCCCTGTCTCCCCAGCGGAGCCTGTCCCTGTCCCCCGCGGCTGTGTGGCTTTGGCTCACGCTTGTCACGCGGGTGTGAGCCACCATGCCTGGCACACGTCAGCCCCTCAGGGGAATCACTACTTCCCTGGGCGCCAGCACCAGTGTAGGGGGAGATGCGGGGAGCAGCTAAGCTAAGGGGAAAATGAGGCCGCCTTGCCACCCCTTGGGTCCTGAGCCCGTGGCAGGATGTGAGGCATGTGTGCCCCTGTGCTAAGGGCTGACAGGCAGAGCTGGGTGACTGTGGCTTAGGGGCCACTGGGCTGTGGGGGCGGCCCATAGAATCCTAGTCTCTGGGACCTTTAAGGGTCGAGCAGCTGCCCTGGGACGTGAAGATGGGGACGTCAAGGAAGGACTTTCCCTCCAGTATCTAGTCCCCCACAGCTCCCCCAGCGGTAACCCTCCAAGAGGCTGCCCAGCCTTGGCTTGCACACCTCTCCAGTGATGGGGTGCTCCCTACCTCCCAGGCAACTGGCTGATAACCACAGGCTCCAGTGCCCCCCTCCCAGGTGACCTGATCAGAAACCACCAGGTCTCGCGGCGGGGCCCCTTCCTGGCGGGGCGCCTGGGGCCTGGGCGGTGACGGCAGCCCCCTTCCCTGCTTGTTTTCCTCCCAGTTCAAGTGCTGTGGCGGGGAAGACTACCGGGATTGGAGCAAAAACCAGTACCACGACTGCAGCGCCCCCGGGCCGCTGGCCTGTGGGGTGCCCTACACCTGCTGCATCAGAAACACGGTACCCACCCCGGCCCGGCACCCGCCTCTCGTCTTTCGGGAAAGGGGGCGGGCAGGAGGTGGTGGTCATTGCCAAGGCGTCCCGGGTCTCCAGGGCCACTGGAAGGGGTACGTCTGGGGGTGGGGGGCGGGGAAGCTCGTCTCTGCTGGTAGTGGTCCTTACCAGCTATCGAACACTTGCCCCGTGCGGGCCTGTTCGAGGCTCTCTAGTTGCGGTAACTCATTTAGCTCTTTCCACAGCGCCGTGGGCTCGGTCCTGTTATTTTACCCACTGCACAGATGAAGAAGTTGGGGCACCAAAGCATTAGGTGCCTGCCTTGCCCAGGGTTGGCGGGGCTGGAATGAAATGCAGGCCGCCAACATGGGAACTGTGCTCTGGACTCCTACAGGGAGGCGCGGAGAGGGGTCCAGGCCAGGGGGGCCTCGCGGGGCGGCCGGCTCTGCAGCCTTCGCTGGGGGGCACCTGGGAACGGGTGTGGCGACGTAAATGCCAGCCACGGCCTGCCCCCGGCAGGACCCCCACTCAGTGCCGTCACCTCCATGGCCACTTGGGAGGCTGTCCTCTGGAGTCACCACTTACAAACTGGGGGCTTCGTCAGTCCTCTGTGTTTGACTAATGTGTCCAAAAAATGCCTGGTTTCTGGACTGGAATGAGGTGGCGCGCTTTGCAATTACTCATACCCTGAATAGTCATGGAAAATTTCTTTTCGAACATCTCTACCATTCTGCGCCCACTCCTGGATTCTGTAAACCAAGCAGTTGTCGATGGGGGGGGGCCTACCCTGTAAGTCAGGGAGCCAGTGCCAAGTGCACCAGCCTTAAAAAAGCCTGGGCCAGGAGGGAAGGTTTGTTTGGAAATTTTAGCTGCCATTTTAGGGTAGCTTTCTGGGAAGGGGGAGTGCTGGGGAAGAGCCCGGCGTTTTCAGAGAGGCCCGTGGGGGGTGATCCTGAACTTCATCACCCAAGGCAGTGGCACCTGAGTGTCCTAGGCAAGCTGTCCAGGTCAAGGCCTACATGTATTCATTCACTCAACAGATATTTGTTGAGGACCTACTATGTGCTAGATGTGATTTTGGGTTCTGGGGGATACAGAAAACACACAGAGAACTCTCTGCCTGCGTGGAACTGACATTCTAGTCAGGAAGACTGACAAGATAGAAAGTGACAGATGCATATCGAAGGCAGTAAATGCTCAGGAGGAAAAGCAGGGGCGTGGAGGATTGCAACTTCAGATACTGAGAAGGGAGGTTCTCAGTAAAACCCTGAAGGAAGTGAAGGGGTAGGCCATGTATATCTGGGGGATGGGCATTCCTGGCAAAGAGAACAGCAAGTGCAAAGGCCCTGAGGTAGGAATTGCCCTGGTGTGTTTGAGAAACAGCAGAGAGACCAATGTGGCTGGAGCAGAGTGAGTGTGGGGGAGAATAGTAGCAGATTAAGTCAGGGAGGTCCCGGGTACCCTGAAGGCCATGGTCAGGACTTTGGTATTCCCATGAGTGACGAGGAGTCAAATGAAGGGTTTTGGTAGCTGACTGGCAGATCTGACTTAGGCTTTTCCAGGGTCACTCTAACTGCTGTGGCAGGGGGTGGGGGTGGCGGCAGAGGTGGACTTTAGGGAGTCTGGTTAGGAGCTAGCACAGCGGCCCGTGTCAGGTCAGGCTGTCAGGGAAGCAGGCTCTGAGATTCTGGTTAGCGAGCAAGATCTCCAGGAGGAGTCAGCCAGCTGGGTATCCAGGACAGCCTGTGGTGTAGTTCCAGACTGGGTCCAACAGCCTGAGAACCAGGAGAATAATGGTGCCATTCCTGTCTGAAGGCTAGCAGGCTCAAAAGCCAGGAAGGGCCAGTGCTTCAGCTCAGGTCTGCAGTTAGGCGGGCAGGAAGAATTCCCTGTTCCTTGGGGGAGAGGCAGCCCTATTGTTCTAGTCAGGCCTTCAACTGATTGGATGAGGCCCAACCACAGTAGGGAGAGTAATCTGCCTTACTCAGTCTACTGATTTAAATGTTAATCTCATTGAAAGATACCCTCCCAGAAACACCCAGAATAATGTTTGATTGAGTATCTGGGCACCCCAAGACCCAGCTAAGTTGACACATAAAATAATAACCACATGTGACAATCACCGCAAGGGACTGACAGCTAAGGCTCCTCCTGATTGTGCTCCCACGGTCGCAGGGCTTCTGGAAAGCTCCTCCCGGCGTCCACCACACCAGCTGGGAGAAGACAGAGGCTTAGTGGAGGTGGAAAAGCTTGGTCCGATTCTGGCTTTGTTTTCCATATAAGCCAACAGGATTTGCTGACAGATCAGATGTGGGAGATGAGGGAAAGAGAAATCAAGGAGGACTCCCAGGTTTTGGCCCGAGTCATAAGAAAAGACGGGGCTGCCATTGCCTGAGAGGGGAGGACAGCAGAGAGGCAAGTCTGCGGAGCCTGTGTGATTTTTCAGCAGGGAGGTCAAAGAGGCACTTGGATACAGGGGGCTGGAGTCTGGGGGAGAAGTCCAGGCCGGGAGTATAAACACGGATGCCGCCTGCAGAGAAGTGGACCGTGAAGTTGGCATCTGCATGGGAGCACCGAGGTGGGTTATCTCTGGTCCCCCACTACAAAACCACCGTCGGTTCTCCTTGTGTCTCCCACCATGATTTTGTCTGAATAGAAAAGAGGGTGTTTCTTGCCTTCAGAGAATCTGTGTATGAACTTGTGTATGAATCTATTTATTGTCACTATTTCATTTAGCCACAGACCTGCATGAACACACAGAAAATACATAGAAGAAAAAAAGGAAATTTTTAAAAATCAGAAACTAGAGCCTTGTGCTTGGTGCCTTAGAGCCTCCTGGCAGCTAGAGGAAAAGGGGAGATGTGGCCTGTTACATTGTGACCGTTCAACAGAAGAAGGCCAACCAGTTCCTCAGGGAAAGTCACTTTCCCCCCTAGCTCTCAGCTTTAAAGGGAATGTCTTCTACCCTGCCTCCTACAGAGGATTTGAAGCAACAGAGTTCATACAGGCTTGTGAAATTTGGTTACACTGATGTCCCCAAGATTTGTCAGTGGGGAGGGCAGTTTGCCGCTCCATTAAATGGCCTCCGAGAGCTGTGCCTGTTGAGCTCTTGTGTCCAATTTGTATAGCTCTCCACTCTCTCATTTTTGGCTACCCTTTGGGGGCCTATCCCTCCAGGCCTCTCTCTTCACCTTCCCACTCGCTTCTCAGACCTTATAACCCAGCTCATCAGTCCTGGGCCAGAGTGAGAGGAAGCACCCGTGAAGAACCCTTGTGAACTTTGCTGTGTCGTCTTTGGGCTGCTCAGGAGTCCCCTTCCTGACCTTGACCCTGTGCCAGATGGAAGAGACCGCAGAGCAGCTCTTGGGGCCTGTGAACCTTCAGCAGAGCCTCTGGAGAATATCGGTTCTGTGGGCAAACCCAGACAGGATTTACCTTTGGGAAGACCACAGAGGCCTCTTATCCCCCTCCTTGGAGGGGGCTCTCCTGGCAGGGGAGGCGAGTCCGGAGGAGGGGTCTGGGCCTGAGGGCAGGGCCCTGCCTCCAGGGCTGGAAGCACAGTGCCAAGTGGCTGCTCTTGTCACCTTCTCTACCATATCATTTACTTACTTACTGTGTTCATTGCGTGTCTCCCTTTCTAGAATATAAGTTCCACGAAGGCAAAGACTTTCCTTGGTTCTTCTACTTCCCCAACATCTAGAGCAGTGATTGGTACATAACGGGTGCCCAGTTAATATTTGTTCAGTGAATGAATGAAAGAACAGACATGTAGGGTAGAAAACACTGTTCCCCTCATGCTATCGTGCACCTGCTTCCCGGGCCTGACCCTCTCCATGAGGGTCGTGTGCACAGCCTAGAAGAGCCACAAAAGCTGAGCGACGTTAAGTGGATGCTGGATGGATTTGGGTCTGAGGGCACCTGGGGTACAGTCTAGACAGAGGGAGGTTATTTTGCCCGCAAATCAGGTCCTGATACCTGAGAGGAGGCCTGAGGTGCAACCCAGTCTTGTGGAAGGAGAGCAGACAGCCTTCCTTGCCTTCCTGGGGCTGGGATCCTGTCCAAAGTCACTCCAGCCAGCGCCCCTGGGTTCTTCCATGTGTCCAGCCCCGAGATAAGCCCCTGATGGGTATATCTCACTTTATGTTCAAAACAGCCCCATGACATGGGGTCACTGAGCACCACTGCTTTATGGAAGAGACCGAGGAACCGATGCATTCATTCATGCATGCATGCATGCATTCAACAAATACTTTTCCAGGGCTCCCATGTTCCGTCCCGTGACAGCACATCTAAGACTGGCCACAGAGCTCCTGGCGAGCAGAGCAGGATCCGGACCAGCCACGTGCTGCCAGAGGCTGTGCTGGCCACTCCGTGGCACCTGCGTGGCTGCCGGCACCCGGGGCCCCCTGACCCCACACCGCGGCTTCCAGGCGCATGGATGGGGCCAGGGCCTCTTGCTTCCTCTCACTTTGCAGGAGGAGGAGGAGACCGCCCGGGGGCGAGGGTGCAAGCCCCTGCCTGCCCTCTGACTTAGGTCTGCTGGGAAGGGATGGGATGGCGCCCGGGGCCGACCATGGCTCTCCCTGCGCCTGGGGGGATCGGCAGCCCAGAGCTCCTGAGAGCAGTTCCCTTCCCGGGCCGGCACTTGCGTCGTCCTTCGGCCGGGTGGATGGCAGTCTGCAGGGGCAGGGACGTGTGGTTGGAGGTCCCGGCCCGGTCCTCAGGTAAAGCGCAGCTGGCCAGGGCCTGGCTGTGGTCTGGGGTTTTCCGTGGTCAGAGCAAGCGGAGACCGACCTCTGAGACCGTCCACCTGTCAGCAGAGCTGTGGCCCTGGGGCGGCTGCGGCAGGGGAGCCCGGGAAGGCACACTTTTCTGGGGGCTCCTGGGCTGCTGCTGGTGGAGGGCTCCTCCCACCCAAACCTCACAGAACCAGCCTTCCCGTCGGTCCTCCTGGGCACTTCTTGGGTGGGGTGGGGGAGGGAGGGAGGTTAAGATGCAGACCCCAGCCAGACTGCCCGGGTGGGAGTCTCAGCTCCATCCATATGGACGGTGCTACTCTGTGCCTCAATGCTTTGGTCAGGGAAAAGGGGAGAATAACAGTCCTTCACGGTAAGCGCGATGGACGTGACAGCTAACACACGTTTCTGTTTCAGACGGAAGTGGTCAACACCATGTGCGGCTACAGAACCATTGACAAGGAGGTAATGCTTTTGCAATCTTTTTCCTTGAGAAAGGTTGCTCTTCCTGTCCCATCCCCAGAGTGATGGGAAGGGTTCCT